AAGCCACTGAAGTTCATTTTGCTACCCACACAAGGATTGCCAATCACTGTACACCAAGGCACTTTCCTCAGCAACTGCGTGTCCCGTGGATGTGGGCTTGTGAGGTGCCACCTGCGTCATGCATTGCTTCCCTCTCCCAGGCTTCATGGAACTTGTTGGTGGCTCAGGGTATTTGGCAAAGGTGGGAAGGAGATCTGGAAAGGGGCTTTCATGCATTCCCATTACCCCAAATGCCTGAATTCTGCCTACAATAACATCTTTCTGATGTTGAATGAGCCTGCAAGAGGTTTCAGGGAATCCCTGAGACAAACAGGCCCCTAGCATTACAGTTAAGGGAAGAATTGTGCTTTGCAGAGAAGGCAGCTGGCTGGATGGGGAGGCAGAGAATTTCTGCACAGATGCGCTACACTGGCTTGCCTATGTAGGGGGATATGCATGGAGGACACCGGGACAGACTCAGTGTTTCTTCTGCAGGAGACAAAAGCTGCTTGCCCTTGACATGAGGATCAGAAGCAAAATCTGTGTTCAGACTTGTGATTGCTGCCCCTCATTAGAGTCGTACAGTCACCCTAATAAACAACATATGGGAGATCTGGGGTTATTATTTGCCAAGAAAGCAAAAATAGCAAAATTTTAATGGCAGCATTAAGAAATATGCTGCAAGGAATAAGTTGAGGACAGAGTGGTAAAACATGCTGCCTTCTTCCATTTTTGTGAAAATGTGTCAAAAATGCATAAATTAGTAAAGAAAAACCCATACTATAACACCTGGCACTCTCTCTGGCAAAAGGACTAGAGCTCAGATGTGCTTTCAAGGCAAACCCTGCAACACAGGACAGCTTGGAAGCTTACCACTCCACTAACCATCCCTGAAGGGACCAGGCATCAGAGCCATGGTCTCCAAAACACCTTGCTCAAGAGCAGAGGAGGTGCATGTGAGGCAAGCTGGCCAGGGCAGGGAAAGGAAAGCCCTCAGTCACTCCGCTTCCAGACTGTCTCCGGACAGTCGGACAGCAGTCTGGAGCCGTCTCGCTGTCTGACTGTCCCCCTTCCTTCGGCCAGCACACCCATGCAGAGATTTCCTGTGCTTCATGGCACCCTGCTGTAACAGGTACCGGGGGAAGAAAGGGGGTGATGGGGAAGATTTTAGATGTATGGTTATATACCTTATCACCAAATAGAAGATTTCAATCTGCAAAAATCTATCAATCTAGCATCTTACACACAGAGAGATACACGCATCAGATTTTGTTTGTTTTGTAAAAAAAGAAAGAAAGAAAATAAAGGCCCAAAAAATATTCCTCTCTTGCTATAAACACATCAGTGCTCATTTTCCCTATATTCTACTTTGGGCCATTTTGTGTAAAATCTTTAATTAAAGTTTTTCTTTGAAATTGTCATCATCAAACCAGAAGAAAGAAAGTAAAAAACGGAAGGACACAGCTGTGCATATATGAAGTGCTATTCAGTACCAAATGAATTGGAACAAAATAAGTATCGTGACTGTTATGCTCTTAGTTTTGGCTCTGTATTCTCAGTAGCACAGTCTAACTTGTCACTTTATATTGATTCCATCTGTTTACACTCTGCAGAGTATTGGCTTCCTACAGTGAACATTTCCTATTTACCAGCTGGTAAAGATAGGCCCAAACCAGATAGAAAAGAATTAGACTATTTTCAGATCCTCATAAACATAAAATCAAAAATTAATGGGGGAGGGGAGATAAGAGTACAACGAGTAAGGAAAGGAAAATATATGGGCCTGGTGCTTGTTCATATTGATAGCTCTTTACCTCCCATTAGCAATTTTTAGAAACCTTGAAATTTGTGCAATAAGTACACAAAATAAATCAATTTTCAGTCCTCTTTACATTCTGTGTTACATGAACAGCATTATTGTAAATGTGAATCAATCCCAGTATTTCAGTAATCTTTAAAGAGAAACAGTTTGCGTCTGAACTTTGCTAATATAATATTCCTACTCCCATCAGCCAGCTATGAGTGAAAGACCTTTATATAAAATGACTCTGACTGAGTTTTAATTATTTCTTTTTCATACTTGCTGGATTCCTTTCTTAAGGAGACTATTATTTGGAGGGGCTGACTTACTTCATCAGAGTCCTTTTACTGTCAAAAAAAAAAAAAAAAACCAAAACAAAACTCTTGCAGGTTGCAAGGTCTTCTTGAACAAAGTTTTATTTTTTAACATTCAAGAACACTGTGTCATTGCAGTTGAGGTTCCTTTCTGTGGTGCCATGTCCTTTTGCAAGTGTTACTGGGGAACAAAACCTGTCCCTATTTCTGGAGTCTTAGCAGCCAAGTCAGTGAACTTGCACTCTATAAAGAAAAAGAAGATAGATTTGGGTGCTTAAAAGGCAAGTTGTCCTTTATTGAACAGGTCTCTGCTGTGCCAAGGCATCAGCTGCCCAGAAGCATGGAAAAGAAGATTCTGGGCTTCTGGTACGGTATGAAAATTCTGGTTCTTCTTACTCACAGCACATAAAGAAGTGCATAAGGATCCCAACTACATTGCTGCCTTACTGCTTTGAACACTCACTGAGTCAGTAGAAAAGAGCCCTTTCATGTGCCACTATTTATATTCCCAGGCACACATCTGTTCGGCATTTGGCCCTCCTTCTCAGGCTGTTCTGCTCTTACGAGGCAGCACTGTGGATCCTACACATTGTAGCCTTTTTCCTACAATTTGCTGTTATTTTTCTTTCTTGCTCAGTTGTTTGTGGTTTTTTCCCCTCTTTTCTTTAAACTTCCTTTCCCAAGACAGTGACCTTCAGGAGTAACATTTTATTATATTTGACTAGAAATGATGGAAGGACTCCTATAGTCAAAACTAAACTTAGAGTTTTGCCCTGGCTTTTGAACTACTCAAAATCTTTTCTGAGCTTATCTATGCTTTACTAAGAAAGTAAGAATAACTACAAAGGCAGTAAGGCTTACTTCCAACAAATACAACAAATAACTGGTGTCATAGAAACAGGTAAGGTCAGCCCTGGATCATTTGATTAAGTGAACTATCAGCATGGCTAGAGTTTCTAAGTGAAGGACAGTGATGAGAAACCCAAGGCCACCTGCCAGGTCTTGGTTCTCCTATGTCTTTTCACTGACTAGAAGATGCTCTGAACTACCTGCTGCTTTTCTTAATCTTGGCCATTACACTAGTTATCATGTCTAAATACAGGTACATGTGGTAGGTGGTCCAAATGTGGTTTTCTGCCCATACAAGGAGAAAATCACTATTTTGTATTTTACTGAGGGCATTAGGAACTTTTTCTTTTATGTTTTTGTTTTCATTTGTTTTGGTTTGTTTTTTTTAACATGCACATACAAATTCAAAACCCAAACAAAGTTATGAATATAAATGCATCCTTGACGGATAATGTGCATCCAAACAGAAGCAGAATAAGGTTTGGCTTGGGAATAACCACTGTGATACATTACAGATAAATATTTAAAAAAGTATATGAACTCTTAAGTGTATCTGAATAATTATCTGTGTACATCATGCATTTCTATATTTTGCAGTACTTCTTTAACTGAATTGTTCCTGAGATATATATGTAGCAGTAACCTTGCCTTAAGTTAATGATGTTTTCTGTTAATATACTAAAATATACATAACAGCTCTATTGCACAATGCTGTTAAAAATAGCATAGAACCTTGTAAATTAAATATACTGCTAATTAGGACTTTGGAGGATATTTTCAATTCATAAATTCTATAATAAGAAGATATTTCAGCAGTTTCTTTTGTGATAGGAAATGCTTAACATGAAAATGTAAACGTTACTCTTCAGTTAGCTGCATATAGCCAAATGAATAAAAGCTATGACATTAATAACAACTATACCAAGTTATGATTGATAGGCTTTTCTACAGCGAGAAAAGATTGTCTTGGATACAATCTGTCCTAACAGCCTTGCGATATGTTAATATTTTATTCAGACTAGAGTGAGGATATATTCAGATGTCCTACTCAGTGGAAGGGAAGCAAATGGGTTGCAAATACTACTGCAGCCCTGAGGTGCAATAACAGCTGTGAAATCAGAAAGATTTTATTTCTCTCTCCCAAATTACAGGCCAAGCCCATGCCAAGCACAGCAGGAGGTTGGATTTTCCTTGGAATTTACATCAGATTATGTTTAATGTATTTCTTCTTCTATGAACAGTCTTAGGATAGAGCCAACAGACTGTCACACAGTGCTCTAGAAGGCACAGAATACCCTTATGTGTCCTTGTAAATAATAACTATTATTAGGCGTGATATGTGACATTAGGTTAACTTGCAAATGCTCAAATATAATAAAATATGATTATGCTGATAAACAGATTTTCATGGCTTAATTTATGCAAAAATAAAATAATCAAAATCTAGCTTTCCCATAGTCACACCACCACTGCCTCCTTGATTTAAAAAAGTGTTTTTATGCTGTTCAAATCTGTTGCAAGATATAAGCAGACTGAGCTCTCAGGTGGCTGGATACTTCTAAGTAAAAAGAGTACAAAATGTCTAAAATAATGTTCTTCTGATGTGACAGAATGTTTTACACCAGTCTTGCAAAGGGCTAAACACTTACAGAAATTGTACTGCCATGGAGAATCTAGTTTCTTAAATAAGTCAAGCATTCTTACTCAAGCCACAAGCATCTAGTAACTAAGAAATAAAATCACAGTGGGACTATGCCAGTTCTACACCGGAGATTTGTTGCAAGACTGCTTGAAAGAGAAGAGTGCTTAGTTTTTTGATGCTAAAAAGGGATTCACAGTGTGGATTGGTGAGGCTTTTAAGATACTAGTATTTTAGCATAATAAAAAACAAAACAAAACAACCAAACACTAAGCATGCAAGTATGACCAGATCTTCATGACATAATAACCGGGCAACATCCTTTTAAACATGGTACTAAATTGTTATCAGTACATCAAGAGCAACATCTACTTATCTGAAATTAATTACTACCCCAGCATCTGATTTCTGTTATTACCCTGGTCAACATACTTTCTCCCTCAGCAGGGATTCCAGCTGACTTAATGTCATTGTTTGGCGACTGTGGCTGCTCAACCTGAAAATAAATACAATAAAAAAGATTAGATGAGCTGCATCGATAAACATAAACCACAAGTGCATCACAGTACCATTGAAGACCACTGTAGGGACATCAGTGGGAGTTTTGGTTTAGCATGTGAACAACTACAAGTGCAAGAAAGTGGCTTGATCCTGCCTTTGTTGTGACTGTTCTTCACAGCTCTGCACTGCTCTTGGAGAAAATCACCACAAATCTGCATCCCTGCAGCAGAACAGAGATGTGGGAGCTGCTCCTCTACCACAAGTATGATGACCGTTAATGTAAAGTATTTTTTCTTGAAGGAGTTCTTTTGTCTGCCATAAGAGACACAAAGGGATATTAGCAGCTTGATCTGGCCCTTGGGATGACATAGTACTCAGCAGTCCCAAGGTCAAGAAAGTTATAGTGCCAGTTCTCCCCTCTCTGCTGCTCTGCTCCCATAGAGTGTTCTTCAGAGAACAAGAAGCATTTCTCCTCCCCTCCTTCTCCCCCAGCATAAACCTGAGACCCATTTGTCACCAGTAACTTTTAAATTTCTTTTAAAAAATAAAAATACATCGCCTTGCTTTTGCTTTTGTTTCCTCATCCTTCTGACCTGCATCAAGCACCACAGCAGGTCATTCTCAGAGTCACCTACCATCCACGTTTACTTTCACTAGTGGGTTCTGCAGGTGCCAAATTCCACTCTGCACATCCTGCTTTGGTTTCAGCCTTAACTGCTTCTGAAAAGCCTCGTGCAGTTTTATTCATATCTGTATTTGTGGGATGAAGTCCTAGAAGCCCAGCTCCGCCATTGTTTCAGCCTCTGAATTTAGCGGAATTGCTTGAGTTTTAAATAGGGAGAGAAAGTCGCTCTGCTAATGAATGCCTCCTAGCAAAACTCCTGGAAAACAGCACCCGTACTGCCCTCCGGCGGCGAAACCACCTCCAGCCGCGCCTGGTCGCTCCAACGGAGCTGCCAGTATTTTTGCTTCTGTACATTGCAGACAGTCTGAGAGCAGTTCTCTAACAAACTAGCTGGCCAAAAGACAAGATCGTCTAAGCACGAGCCTTACTTTCCACATTTTAGCGAGTCTAAAAGGAAATCAAGAGTAACATCTTATATATTCTCCTTGAACACTGGGAGAAAATCCAGCACCAAGAGTACAAAAAGCTCTACCATTTTATTATATCGCATGTAATAAAGAAAAGATTAACCTTTTATTCAAGGAAAGATCCCTCATTTGTTATTTAATTAGTTTTCACTAATTAATTAGAATTTTTTAAGCTCCCCTGTCTCTCTGGGAGAAAGTAGCTTAGGTCCCTCCCTTTTTCTTCTTTTCTTTTGCCGCTCCTCTTCTTCCTCCTGCTTCCTTTCAAAGTCCTAATCCCATTTTTGTATCCTCAGTATTACACTCCCTCATTCTCCCTTTGTCTGAGAGTTTTCTTAGCTTTGCGCTTGCTGGGAACAAAGTTGGACTGGAATTTACAGGATATTTTTTGAGGCAACTCTTTATTGAAGGCCAGATCATACAAACCCACAGGACAAACTGAAGGAAAAGGAACTTCCCTAAAGATCCCCCTGCAGAATTTCACCCTTTATATTTTGCTGGGGGGGGAGGGAGGTGAGAAGGGGGGTGGTGTGAAAAATATTTAGTGCTCCACTAAGAAAGCCACTGTGAGAACACAGATCCAGTTTTGGTTTCTTTGTGTTTTGTTGGGGTTTTTTATTTTATTTTTACATATACTATGGCTCTACTTTCCATTTTACTTCATTGAAGGTAAGAACTCAAACTTAATCCCAGTTCACACACAGTTGGTGTCTTCTCAACTTTATCACTGAAAAATTACTTGCACTGGAAATGAAGATGAATGCAAGTTATTTCCTCCTAAAGGATTGAATCCTGAAACATTATAACTTTCCCATTACTTGGCTTAGCTTCTATGTTTCACTTAAAGACATGTCAAGCTGAGTGGCATGTTTTCAAATCCCTATTAAACCGAATCAGTTTTGTTTCATAAACAACAACTTTCATTGTTAATTTAGAGAACAGGCTGATTAGTTTTAAAGGTTCATATTTTTTCCAGTAGCAGATTGGTGGCTTAGCAGACCATTCCCTTTTCTTTGGCAATCAGGTAACATTCCTACAGCAACTATGCCAATTACACGTACAGAAAAAGAGATTTTAGAAAAAAGTGTATCATATCTCTATGTCACTAGAAGCTCACATTAGCAGTTAGATTCTGCCTTGAAAGCTAGACAACTCACAAGTGATTAATGACTACAATTTAGTAGCAATTTGACTGCATAATATGGAACACTTACTTACCTTCTAAACGTGATGGTACTTCACGCAATATTAGTGAACTTTGACAGGAAGCCAAGATATGGCACAGTAACTTTCCCAGTACTTAGGATCTGTATTTCAATATACATGGATAAGTCCTACAGTGATATATTTTTTAAATACTTCATTTGCATTACTCAGTCTTTTCTTGAACAGCAAAAATAAATTTATCTTCTAATCTTGGGGGGTTTTTGTGTATTATGCATTACTACTTCTCAGCAATCTGCCTAGAATTAAGCAGAGCATTAATTTAATATCTGATAAGTCCCTCCCAAAAAAGATACAACTTACAAGTCTTTCCATCAGTTAAGATAAAGATTTCTCAACTCTCTAGTTCTATGATCTTTCACATGTACATATTTGAAAGTATATTCATTCACATCAGCCTCACTGATGCATCCTTCCCTCATTCCAAAAGTCTATTTAATGTGTTTCAGGTGTATATGTGTCCTGCTAATGACAATATAGTATTAGCAAAGAATTTAACATCAACCTTAGCTGAAATGGGCTTAACCTGTTACAGACTGATAAGTTTAAAATGCAAATGTTCACTAATTCATTCAGTTCACTAAAATTAAACAAACAAGAGTCAAGTACATGAGAAAAAAATATATAAAACTCAGTCACCTACACTTTTAGGACAGAAATTGAAGTGTACGATAAAGTTGGTGCAGACTGTGCATCAGAATCCTCCCCTATTTTTGCTAAGTGTCAGACATGATACCATATAAACACCCAGTGTTCCTTCAAGTCCAACCTGACAATGGTTTATAAGGTAGCTAATATCAAAAGTGAGCTGAGAACCTCCCTGTGCAGACAAAAAACAGCTGGTCTCTGACTCAGAGTTCACAACCTAACCTATGCATATTCATAACACTGTATGTATTTGAATTTAAGCTGAGAGACCCTTTTTTTTTAAAAAAAAAAAAAAATCAAAAAATCTGCTGGTAAATAATTGCAACTCTTTCAAATAGTGAGACACATTACACAGACAAATTCCTCATGTGAGCATACCACTCATCAAAATTATCTCACATTACTTTTGCAAGTTTTCTATGACTTTCACTTGAACAGAAGGTTTTGATCATGTCTAACATTTTTTTGATAACATTGGCCTGGAACCTGCTCCCATTGAAATTTTGCTCTCAACATAAGTAGGAACTGCCTGTAAATGGTTATAAACAGCAGTGACATAGCGTACCTCTGCCAGCACAGAATCAAATTCAGCTCCTGTTAGATGGAAGAGAAAGGTTGCAGTCACTCTCCTGAATTCACCCTTTGTGACTGTCAGAGTCTGGCCAACATCAGGCAACTAAAATTCTTTTTTCAGTTCATCGTCTTCTTCAGCTGTCTTTTGAAGTAAGATCTGCCCAATGTCCCAGGAGAATAATGTGGGATCTGGGACAGAGCTCACAGATGTAGCTATAAAATATGTTAGGCACTCATCAGATACTCCTAAGTCTGGCAAAATCACATATCTTTCTGAGAATTCAATACAAATCCATTCATTTCTAGAAATATATAAGTAAATTGGTTATTGTTTGTTGACTGATTTGAAAGCAATAAATAGCCAAACAAAATTGTAAATATTTAAATAAAAGATTCCAGGGTTTCTCTTTCTGCTACTACTGTCAAAACAGTAAGTTGGAATATATACTTCAGTTTTAAAAGTTGAAAAACATTAAATAAAGTTACAGTGCATAGATGTGTTCCATGAAAGCAGCCCTCCCACTTCAAGCTACAGAGAGGTTATCTTTGCCCTGTAAAGTTTAGAGACTTTATTCAGTTACTGAGCTTTGGGTAGAGATATCATGTAATAGTGAGGTCAACATTTATTGTCTGTATATGGAGTCTATGGCTGCTAAGTATTTTAGCATATGCCAGCCCCTTGTCCACTAAAAACACAACCAGCAGGGCAGAGTGGAAGTACCTGACAGTGCAATATATTGTACAGGGATGCTTTACATTACTTAAGACACTTCTGGCTCTCATTAGATGTGAATAAGTACTAAAGAAGGACCAAAAGATTTGGCCTGATGTTTCTTTTGGATTTATAATGAGCCAAATTCAGCCACAGCTATGAGCATTTAATTACCTTCTACTTGAATCAAAGGAGGTTTTGTACACAAATCTGAACACTACGGCTAGTTCATAGGCATTTATGTTTTCTCCAAACTTAAATCTAGGATCTGCTCTTAAACAAAATGTGACTGCCTTCAGAAGAAGCTTCATTTACAAAAAGCAAGATGGCAAAATACAGCTTTTTGTTACTTACAGCTTTGCTGCAGTTTTATGAGAGCCAAATTTTTTCTTTTGCTCATCCCTTCCTTACAATGAAAGTATACAATCATGGATGCCTTGCACATTTCATTTCAACTTCAAGCCATTCCAACAAAAGAAAGCATTCAAATTCACAGCTGGATACAGCTTCGGTGAAATCAATAGAGCTGTCACAGCTTACTCCTACAATGAATCTGTCCCTAAATCTAAAACTACATAGCAAGGAGAGGAGGAAAAGTGACACAAACCATGATGGAGGAAGCCTCATATGATAATAATTAAAAATTACTTGCAAGAGGAATGTCCACATTGGGATTAACAGCAAATTCATACTTGATTGGAACGGACTATAAATTTTACTGCTCCAGAAAATGAGGTTTCAGTGGTAAGTGTATAGTCATTTCAAATGAGTTCCCAAAGGAAAAGATGTATATCAAATCTGGTAATGTGTTATAATTGGAAACAGTGATCTTGTAGTGACTTCAGAACAGAAGCGAGACAGTGGTCCAAAGAAGGCATCTCTCTCAAGTTCCGATGGACTTCAGAGAAGGGAAGAAAATAAAGACCCTGATTTCTCACATACAAGCAGGAGGAACAAGAGCTGGGTGAGAAGGGCCATGGCTCCCTCTTCCACCCTCTCTCCATCAGTAGAACTAGATTGATTTTGTTCATGTCCACAGGATAGAGCAAACACAGACTAGCTGTGACAGATGACTTCTCTCAAAGTAGTGAGGGAAATGTGCCCCAAACCCTAAAGAGCACAAGAGATCCTTGGCCACTGCAACTTGCTACATTGAAAGGCACCACTGAACCCCAAGCAAACAATAGGACAGAGAGGACTTGAGAGGATGATGCCACCTGCAAGTTACACAGAGCTTGTCCTCTGAGCAATAGAAGGATTTTGATTTAAAGTCCCAAGACTGGGAACACTTAGACTCCAGTACAAAGCTGCAGCTGATTTAATTGAGTGCCACCTGCTGACACACAATGATGCTCTGTTTTGTGTAGAATGAGGTCCCGAGGTAAATGTGATGCCCTGAGAGGAGGGGTGCAAGGCACTGAGGTCTTCTGCAGTTGTCACTCTGGCCATGGTCTCCCCTGGATTTAAAACAGGATTATGAGAATACACAAGAATATAGGGCATGAAAAGAAGCAGTGTGGCTGGCAACAACAACAAGCAAGACAAAACCTGATTTCTTGAGATCTAATTTGCTGATAAAAATATTGACCAAGATAGTTCTTGATGACTAGCAGTGACCAGATGAGAGTTCGCAATTTCTGTGGCTGTGCTGGGTACTATCTATCTCCTATGTCAGCACTTTCAGGTATGTAGTTCAAAGCAGGAGACTAGAATGGTAGGCCAACTCCTTTACCAAATAACACAGAATTGTCTCTGGAAATGTTTTTGGCCATTATCTTGAAGGCTATGCACATTAAAGTACTCTAAAAATCTTTAAAAACACAATCTTTTAGTTAAGAAAGGCTGCTATTTTATTAAGCAGTACAGTTGCTTAGATGTTTATTTAGACTTTTAGGCTTTTGCAGGAGAAAAATGCATGTACCAGACACCAGCTCATTACACTAATTACTCTGTTTTATGAAGAGCTATTATTAATTTTCCGCACCAGGAAATCTGAGGCAAACTATACTGTAAGTATAAACAGAAGAGCTAACTGGGAAAATAACAATCAGACAGAGATAACATTGCACGGCATATGCAACAGTTTCGTAAGCATGGCTCACGGGTGACCCTGCAGGCAATGTTAAACGGTCAGCATCTGCTCTGCCCAGCCATACAGCCTGAGCAGCGCCGGCAAGTGCAAACACCATTATGTGAAATCCCGGTAGCAATGCTGAGAGCAGACCATGCTCTGCCGCTCAAAACTTTGGGAGGTGCAGCTCTGGGGCTTATTCAGCTATGATGAGGCATTTGTCTTTGCCCATGTGGAATGTGCTATGGGTGCTACTAAAATAAAGGTGATCCAGGTGATGGTGCTATCACCCAATCTTTGCCATGCCTTTTTACAGTCATTAGTCACAGAAATACTTTCAAATATTGGCAGTCTTATGCACAGGATCACAGGATAATTCTATTGATACTTTTGTAGCTAACCCTATCAGACACTTCAAAGGAAACATTTCAAAGGCCCTGTTTCCTCTATTACAAACATAATTCCAAATTAGAAATTTGGTTTCTCCCCAGACTGAGTGGCAGTCGGAGTCAGAGAGTATATTTCCTACTCTCTGATATGTGCCAATCAATTGTACTCTGCTCCTGCCATTCAATTACTATACTATAGAAAGCAAATGTTAGCACAAGGAATTGTAGCCTTCTGAAAATCCAGCATGGTATGTACAGTGACAAAAGCCATATAAAGAGGCTCAGTTGATTCTCTGTAAAGGGAAATGAGAAGTAAAAGTAAAGCAGACATTGCACAGCCAAGTGAAAAGCAGTGGGAGAAGAGCAAGACTTACTAGTCCTATAGCAAAAATGCAGCATTATGCACTATGCAGCATTTTACACAGATAGAAAAGCCCTTCTGCCCTCTCCCTCCATCTTCCCCCCCCCCACCCCCCAAAAAAAAAGACAAAACAACAAAAAAAAAACCCAAAACCAAAAACCAAACAAACCCACCACAGTTCAAACACTTCAAGTTTTCATTACCCAGTTCAGTGCTTTGGACTACTAGGGAGAAAGAACAAAGGACAAGGGAAAGGAAAAGAAAACAACACCTTTCTGACAACTTAAGCAATCTTTATGTTATCAAACAGAAATTAAGTAGATCTGAGTAAACCACCCCCACTGCTTAACATGCAGCAAATTAAGCAGTTGCTGGGTACTGTTGCTGGGCACTGCATCTTCACCCTCTGTACACTCAAATTGTTAGAATAATCTCTGATTGGGTTTTGACCTAAACTTGGGTCAAGCAGCTTCCTGGTTGCATTTCGGGAGTTAGCTTGGTCAGGAACCATTCCCAATGGACAATTTGCATGCAGCCAACCTGTTTGAAAGGGCAAGAAGTGTTTAACAGTCTGGACATGGGCTATTCCATGCCAGTTCACCTCAGTGCCAAGGAAGAGACACAAGCAAACTTAATTTACTAGCACAGCCCATCTACAGCAGTAACCCCTGGCAGATGTCCTAGCTCTGTGGCCATCCATTAAAAGAAATTAGCCTCCAAGCATTCTTTCCCCACCATTCAGGTGGAAAACAACCTTTTCTTCTTCATCTGATACATGGCTAAGCGTCATCATTACTCCAGTCACTTGGCTGACACACTTGCAGTGGCACCTGTGCAAGCTTGGCTCCTTAGAAACCATAAACAGGGAGGGTCCATTTCTCAGAGGCCAAGAGCTCAAATCAATGGGTTCTGGCTGCAAGACTTACCCCATCATAAATATGGGCAGACAATAAGTGTATTTGAAACAAGCAAATGCAAGCTGATTCTGCTGTTGCCTCCTCAGGCACCACCAAGCTCTATTTCAGGTGCTGGGGGTTTGATACTAAAGAGGCCGTGCCAGCTATTTGTACCATGCCCAAGCCAGAGGGAAATTCATGGACCTTTTAATACTACTCTGCCCTTTTTACAGGTTCAGTGGACATATTTAAATCAATTTGCTAGCAAAAGAACCATTCAAACAGCTAAGGCAGCAGCAGCCATGTGGCTCAGTGACTAGGATACAACAAGAATAGGGTAAGTAGAAGTACATCCCGCTGCCAAGTAAGTCACTAGCAAAGTTTTCGTTGACTTCAGAAAATCAGGATGGAGCTCTAATGTACTCTTTTAAAAAAGAAGTGTAACTGGTATTTTTCTGGACTCTAGACATTTTCTAGTGGAAGTATATGTCCATCTGGTCTACTAACAGTCAGCTTGCCTTCTTTAGCTGTCTTCCACAGACCCTTCAGAAATAGTCCATGGTCCATACGAAGTCCATATACTGAAAGTCAAAGATTACTGATACAGAGTAATCAAATTTAAAGTATCATCAGATACTGAGCCTCGTTCTCTTCTCACTTACACTGCCTTTACACCTGCAAAACATCAGTGAATCAATCAAGAATAACGTGCACTGAATAGTTTCTGATTTATATGTTACTTGGAATTCACATTGCTGCATAAAAAGTCATAAATCAGATCCATTGCTTATATTTTTAAGTATACTCCTACTGCTATACGAGGGGCAAGGTCCTCAGTTACCATAAATCAGAATAGCTCTGCTTGCTTTCCTATCTTCAGAAGAATTACATCATTTATAGCCGCTAAGGGATTTGGCCCACATTTCTTCTCATCTCAATAATTTAATTGATAAGAGTTTCCCAAGTGTCTATATACCAAGTTTCTGCATCTAAGGTATGTTTCACTGTAGTTACAAGATAGATGGATCTTGCAAATGGTATAAATATATTTCTGGCCAGTTTAGATAGAAATGTAGAAGGCAGTTTCTACCTAACAGAATAATGAGGATTTGTTACAGTGTTTCACTCAGGAACATGGGACCACATCCTTTTCTCTTCTTCGAAGAATAAATGAAGCTTTAGAATAGAATGCTTTTTCTATTTGTTTCCAAAAGTTTCACTATTTCGTATTGTGTTTGGCAAGACAGATAGCAACTCTCAAATTAATTTTCTCTTAGCTCTTTTTTCTTTTTTAAAAAAAAAAGCCTAACATATTTTATTTTATGCAACCTAAAGTAAAATGATTGCTGTAACCTTGTCCTTTATTTCATTTTATTCCCCTTGATAGAGTGCCAGTCTCTGCAATTGTCAGAGAACAATTAAGGCTAAGAATTCCCCCATGCAGATATGCAGATCAAGGGAGAACAGTTTGTGGCTCTAGCACAATTTGTTGTTCTCATAATGGGCTTATAACAAACAGCTGACAGCAGAGCCACATCAGAGTATAAGCTCCTGCGTGATCTGAAATGGGCTACCAGAGGCTTCCACGGTGTGGTGGGTTGACCTGGACTGGCTGTCGGATACCCACACAGCTGCTCTCTTGCTCCTGCTCCTCAACAGAACAGGGGGAGAAAATAAGATGTAAAAGCTCATGGCTTGAGATAAAGACAGGAAAAAATATCACTCACCAATTACCATCACAGGCAAGACAGACTCAACCTGGGGAAAATTAATTTAATTTATTGCCAATTAAAAATAGAATAGCATGATAAGAAATAAAGACAAAAAAAAATCACTAAAACACCTTCCCTCCACCCTCCCCTTCTTCCCAGGCTCAATGTCACTCCTTCATTCCCACCCCCTCTACTCCCTCTCCCAGAGCAGTGCAAGGGAATGGAGAAGGGGGTTTGCTCCTCCCGGCCACTCCTTCCTCCTCACACTTTCCCAGTGTGGGTCCTTCACAAACTGCTCCTGCACGGGCTCCTCTCTACGGGCTGCAGTTACTGCCAGGAGCTCGCTCCAGCATGGGCTCTCCACAGGCTGCAGCTTCCTTCAGGGCATGCCCGTCTGCTCTGATGTGGAGTCCTCTGGGGGCTGCAGTGTGGATATCTGCTCCAGCATGGTCCTCATCATGGGCTCCAGCGAAATACCTGCTTCACCAAGATCTCCTCCAGGAGCTGTAGGGGAATCTCTGCTCTTGTGTCTGGAACACCACCTCCTCCTCCCCTCCTTCTTCTCTGACTTTGGTATCTGCAGGACATTTTCTCACACTTCTTTCTTTCCCCTCACTCCTTCAACACAGCTGTGGTTTTTTTTTTGTTTTTTTTTTTTTTTTTTATTAAACCCTTTCTTAAATATGCTTTCACAGGTGCAGCACAGCTTATGGGCTCACCTATGCCCTGCAGTGGGTCCACTGGAGCCAGCTCTATCTCGCATGGGGCAACCCCTGCCCTCTCCTCACAGAGACTGCCCCTGCAGGCCCCCACTGGCAGCACCTTGACACCTACACCCAATACAGAGGGCAAGTCACCCTGAAATCCAAATGATGGGTGAAGCAGAGGCTTTCTGGGAAGTCACTGTTTCCTCCCATGTCACAACTCTTCGTGGAGCTCCCTGTGTCTGGGGCACATAGAATCTTTGCCTGTGTTTGTTAGCCACAGGAAAAATTCTGGTGTGCAAATCACAGGCTATCCACTGTAAAGATGGTGTCTTCTCATTGCCTTCCTTACCTCGCTAACTCCAATTATTAAATCATTAATTAATACATTCTCAGTCTGCAATCGATACTTCTCCCTATTCTCTTCCCATGGCTTGAGGTGGAAAGGCTGATTCTAGAAATACCAACTACTTAGAGACAGATTTTGACCTACTCAGAGAATGACCAAAGAAGTTGTCTCCTCACTTCATATAATCCAGGGACAACAGCACTTGCTTTATGGGAAATACAAAACAGAAGCAAATAAACATGAAAGGTCTCTCTAGAAAGAATGATCAACCACTTAGATACCATATCCTCTCCTATATATAAGCTGTCTATGAGTGACACCATAAGGCAGAGCTTTCTGGATTCCAGCATGTATATCTTCCCCACAGACAAACCACCTCTGAGGGCCCTGCCCCTTAAAAGCTCTAATGTTATTCAAGTGGCTGAGCATTCTCATTTGTTCTTGTGTTTATTAAACAAGGTAGTATGTCTGGAAACATATACCTTCAACTGATCAGGCAGAGACCTAGCACCACTCTAATCTGTGGGGACAACCTTCTTTCTACAGCAGATGGATTTTCAGCAAATATAGAAATCCCCACTCCAAGATTTAGTTCTGATGAGTAATGCAAAAGACTGAGATAATCTACAGGATGTGCGTTTTACTTTGCAAAGAGAATTTTACATATTTTGAGCTCAGGGACTGTGTAATTTTGTGTCCCAAAGGCAGAAATCCCCCCCAAAGCGAAAGCCAACCTGCAACACATCAAATAAAGAAGTTCAATAGCACACAGGCTGCCTCCTGTACTGCCCTGAACTCCTTCAGTGTGGAGCAGGTCATTCTGATTATCAGGACATGTTCTAAGCTGGGCTGCAGTGCCAGACTACTGGGCCATAAAGGCCCTGAACTACAAAGCCTCTCTGTTTCAGGTACTTCGGAGAAAAGGTGAAAAAACTCCTGGCAAAGAGAACTGTAGAATAAACCACATGTGAACCAGACTCTTCTTTATTAGGGGCACATAGGATGGCCTCCCTCCAGAGATAATTGCTCTTCCTTCTTGAGCCCCCTCAAATGTAACAGCAGAGGATTTCAACAGCCATGCTGTCTTTCCTTCAGCCCAAACCTGCTGCATTCACCCTGACAGAGCACGAAGCTGTGAGCCACCTTTCCCTCCACTCTGGGCCAGCAGAGTCCCTGACCCCAACCTCCAGAGCAGCCCAGCACAAGCCAACCGCGCACTGCTTCTGCCTTAGCTCAGGCTGCGCTTACCATTAGATGACAGAAAATGAAAAGTACTCATTAAAGCGATTAAAGCCCTTCCTCACGTACGGAGGCAGGTGACCCGCTGGCCGGTCCCCGGTGGGGCGGGGGGACCCCACCACGGCGGTGTAACGCGGGCGTCACGCCCCGGGGGGCCGCCGCTGCTCCGGGCCACGTCCCCTCACGCAGCCGCGGCGGGCTCCGGGCTCCCCAGCCCCCGGGTCGGTACCTGCGGCCCGGGGCGGGGGCGGGGCGGGGGGGCGCGGGGCCTACCGACAGCGGCGCCGCTTCGAAGTCCTCTTGGTGTTGCCGGGACGCTGTTGCTGTAGTAACGACTGCCTTCGCGCCTGATTGGGCAGAGGCGCCGCCGTTCGCATGGCAACAGTAAGGCGGGTGCCTATTGGGTGGCGGTGAGGGCCGGCTGGCCGCGCTGTGCCCGGGGTTAGTGCCGGCGGGAGCGGGTCGGCGCCGGCTGGCGGCAGACGGGCGAGAGGGGAACGAGAGCGGCGGAGCCGCGTTGTAACGTTCTCCCGGGGCTCCGGCAGCCGTTACAACTACCCCCGGCTCCCGGGCTGGCCACAGACCGGCGCCCACCGCCACCCTCGGGAGGAGGCTGGGCCCAGGGCCCCGGCCCGGAGCCTGCTGAAGGGAAGCGGGGACCGTCCCCCGGCGCGGCTCGGGTGGCCGTGGCCGTGGCCGTGGCGTGCCCGCTGGCCGGGCCCAGAGCTGAGGAGCAGCCGAGGGGGCGTTAGTACCTGCTCGCCCCGGTGGGTGTATGAGTGCCTTTCGTTTAAGATTTCATTGTGCGTTTAAGTGAGGAGTTGGGGTCATTGCGGTTTGATTCAGTATAAAATACAGACTGTTTTTCATGGTGCGGTGACCCATGTAAAGTATCGGTAGGGTGTTCTCTGTGTTAAATCCTTTTAATTCCAAAAGGAATGCATGAATTACTGCACTTGGACATGAGAAAAGAAGACTTACTCTGGTGGCCTTCTGTAAGCCTTGGTGTGTATTGTTTTGTTTTGTTTTGTTTTTAAATAAATGAGATTTGTTGAAAACTTATGTTGTAGCCATTGTCTGGAAAAAATACAGTTTCTTGTACAGTCTGGACATGCTGGCCACGCATCAGCAATTAACCAGTAATGCTTTCCACTTTCAAAAGTCCATTAACAAGTTCAGTTTTTCAGTAGATCTTGATGTAGACTGATGACCTTCAGGGCATGTTAAAGCGCTGATTCCCACAAGTATTTGTGTATTTAATGTAACTTTCATATGTGGTCCCTGTGAACTAAGTGGCAGTGCTCCTTTAGGGACAATAACTTGAGCAGAAGCCTGTAAGATTGCAGGAATGTAATGGCAGTACATAGTATTGTAGTTATTGGTAGGAAAAAGTAGAATAGTTTAAAAATTATTTCTTGATTTCAAAGACTTCATGCAAATTGCTTCAGATTACTGAGTGAAAATAGTGACCAAAGGGTCTGTACTTATAGTTAAAACCCAAATGTTTACACCTTGAATTGGCCTATATCATATTTTTTTTTTATATATTCCTTTTTCATCACACAGGATTACACAAATCTTTAATAATAAAAACAAAGTAAGAACTAGTTTTAGTCTCTAATCTCAATGGGATTTACTGGAGGAATGATAAACATGTCCAAAAGGGTCTGGCTGTTAACAGAGATCGACACCTACGCATCTGCGGCTGAAGCAGTGTGGTTAAGGAACAGAACTGGAAACCCACTGTGGATCTTCCTCTTTGGGTTTAAGTCCTACCAACTATGGAGTGGTGGCGATCCTAGAAACTGAAAATCTCTTGCAGTGTTTCAAGGATTCTCTGTTTCAGTAGGGTTAGAACTGCCTTTTTTGGAGGGGTTGAAGCACCAGAGATGATTGAGGTGCAGAAGCAAAAAAGAGTGGTACATGAATAACCTGGGAAAAGTTAAAATCTGGAGTGGTGCAAGCTTTGGGTAGGGAATATTCATCATCACCTTTGTTTCCTCTGGTAAATTTTTATGTATTTATTAAGCCTCAACCATTTGATTATGTGATGTATGGGCAAAAATAAAATACTGTCTTCCCAGTGGAGCTTGAAATCTAAACATTTTCCTTGATTCTTGTTTTGTTCTAATTGGTTCAACTGTGCTGTGTTCTTAGAGCTCTCACGTGTTTTATGGGTGACTCTTTCCAAAGCCGTGAGAAAGCAGATGTAAGGCCTGCGAGGGCTGAAGTTTCAGCACACTGTTACACCAGCTGTGCTACTGCTATCTGCGTGCGAGGATTAAATTGTCATCTTATGTTCATTGCTGGCAAAAGCTGAGCCTGTGACAAGAGATGGTGACAGTGGATTTAACGTCTGGGTGGCAGTTACTTTGAATATCACTCGTACCGCACATATCAAGCAAGTCGGCATATTAGTGATTGTGATTGGAATCAGTCTGAGCAGTCAGCTGCCATTACGTTACTGTTCCTTCTGCATCTTGCATGCTGTCATACAGCGTGTCTTATTGCAGCGCTCCCTCCTGCAAAACAATATTCCTTCCAAAAGTAGGTTTTGCTTCATTCACTCCATGTGGCAGTGTGGATCTGTCTCCCCTTCTCACTAAAAGACATGATTCCACCTTCACAGACCGTTTTGCACAGGTGAAACTCAGCCCATATGTGAAACGGGCTGTTCCCTGGTAGAGAGGCTGATTGCAGGGCTCTGGCGGAAGAGTTCTGACAAGGACTTGGGAGATCACTCCCAAGCCAGGGCAGCACCCAAGGATGTGCTTTGTCTCCTTGCAGCTGCAGTTCACCAATCAGCCTATTATCTGAAACCACCATCCATATCAGTTGTAAGTTAACTTGTCAGCCTGTAAATTAGGGCAGCTGAGGAGCCAGCACACATTTGCTTCTGCTGTCTCTCCTCCATGGTGGCCGTTTCTGGCAGAGAGGCAGAGTGGACAGCTGGAGGTGGTAGCTTCTGAAGCTATTGTAGTGTGCGTTGCCAGGGCTTGTCATCTGTGCACAGTGAGAACTCCAGCAAAAGTTGTTGCGTGGCTTTACCATTTTACCCGTTGATGAAGTGGCAAAATCCAGGAAAGCACAGTTTACCAAGAGAACCTCATGGAGGCTCCTGCATTAGCAGGGAGTACAAAGGCTTCTCTTTTCTTTTCTCTATTTGATTGGTGTGAACAGCTTCACTGTTTCTAAAACCAATTTATGGTCAGGAGGCTACGCTGCTAATAGTAATTCCCACATGTCAGGGGTCCTGGAGCACAGAAAATTGCCCTGCATTTTTGTAAACTTCTCTCGCGTTCATTTTTAAAGACTACACAGCTCGGGTGCTTTCAGGACACGCATGCTACATGCACCTATGTCTCATTCAAGCCTGAGAGCTGGAAAGAGGCATTGTTCCAGTCTGTCTGCAGAATTTGCCATTGCTCTCCCATCTGTTAGAGGGGTGATTTATATGCAGATAGATCAGGGTTAGAGTGGCATTAGTGGTGATGAGTTCCTCGCCATTCCCTGAAGATAAACCAGCAGTTTTTACTGGAATATGACTCGGCACTTGAGGTCTAAACCTAATTATGTTGAAATCTAGGTAAGTTTTATTTTTAAATGAAGGTGCACATTTTTGCAGACTCTCTTTCCTTTTTGCCAGAATTAAGCTGATTATTAGTTGCAATTATTTCTGTTTTATCTGTGTGATACACACCATGACAGGTAGCAGTTTTGTGATTCAAATGCTAGAGGACACCAGTCTGCAGATCCTGCGGTACAGAAATCAAATGGATTATGTAGTGAGATTACATATCATAATTTCTGTACTGTGTCCTTCCCATGGGTGTGGTCACTGGGTTTGGGACTTTTTGATGAATATTTGATTCATCTGAATCTCCGTTTAGCCTTTTTCCTTTGACTGAAAACACAAATGCTGTTCCTTAATCCTCCCTCTAAACCTTTACTGGTAGCTACTAAGTGGTGTTATTTATAGCCCAGGCGAGACTGAGTGGCTTATAATAATGGTGACTCAGGCCTATAAATCTTTATAATTATTGCCAGAACTGTTTGTGCCATGTTGTGTTGTGATGCTTATACAAAAGTGCTGAGAATCTTTAAGGGTTACTCATTAACTTTCTTGTCTTTCCTCTTTACTGCTCAACTTCACTGCAATGAATTCTTACAACCTTTTGTATACTAAACTGTGCAAAAATTTATTTTCTAGATTAGTTTCTGCTCAATTCTTTCACATTAATGCTTTGGAGGTCTCCTACTGAGGCAAGGTGTTGGCATTTGAGGCCCGCACTGACTGAAGCGGCAGAGGTGGAGAGCCAGGAGCCGGGGCGGTGCTCAGCCCAGCCCGGGGGCTTTCTGGGGGCCAAGGCCCTGTGAGTGCTGCTTGATGGGCACCTGCTTAGTGATGGATTGATCCAGTGAAGTGGGATATTTGGTATTTCCGTGAAGGTATATCGCCAAGGATGGCTGGTTTGAACTAACGTCGAGAGTACTTGGTGCTTTACAGGAAGTTGATCTGAAGCAGTTGCAATGAAGCCATCCAAATCCTCCCCGGGTCTTGCACGTTTTGCATCACTAAATGGGCTACCGGCTGCATAACTATGATAAATCTTGCTAGCATGCTAACTTTGTGGCAGTTACCTCAGTGGAAGAAGCTTACCAAATTTGAGTACTGAGAGGAGAAAAAAATAATACTGGTATTTTTGTTCTTCATTTACAGTGCATTTGTATCAACAAGGCATTCTCTCCAGAGACAACTTGGGGCACTTGGCCAAGGTGTGTCTGTATTTATATAGAGTCATGGTGACATTTGGCTGAGTCCTGAAAGTTTAAGTTGTCAAAACAGAAAGGAGCTTGATACCTACGGTTTTTAATATAAAGCCTGAAATGCTTTCAAGGACTAGATCCAAAGGTAGAATTTCAGCGTGGCTTATGTGGGAGCAGGCTTTGACCAGACTTTTGACTCTTGGATGAATTTCACCTGATAGCACAGAAAGCAACAGTCAAGGCGTAGAAAATAATAGCTCTGGCAGAGGACAGATTTTCTGGTCCTAGAAAGCAGATTCCTAGCACACAGCAACTTTGTTGTCTAAAACAAGGAGCACCAGCATAGCAATAGGTGCACAACAGATTGTCACAGAGTCTATTACTCTCTACAATAAGGAAATGTTTTTTTTTTTTTCTGAACTAGCTGTTCCCGCTCCAGCCTGGTAGCTGGTCGCCCTCTGCACAGGCTCAGTTTGGCAATGGCACATGTATACACCCGACTTAACAATGTGGCCTTAGAACATTTTTGGGTTTGGGGGCAGGGGGTGGTCATCTGCTGTCGCAGAGACAGACTGTGCCTGGGATTCCCTGGTGTCTTCAGAAATGCAAG